AAATAATGCATGTGGAATTAGAGCCTAGTTTGAGCAACATGGATGGTGGAGTGTAAAGTGCAAGTCTTTGCTGGTACATGAGTTGGCTTTGTAACCGCTCTGACCAATACTATGAGCATGAGCTGTTTGTTATATAGTTGTCACGGTATAGGAAGTGATCCCATGACGTTGGGTTTATATTATAAAAAGTCATCATAATGCTCGTTTCATGTTTGGTGGAACTTTCAATTGAAACGTTAACAATAATTGCTCCCATATATCAAGTTTTAGTTCAAACTGTAAGAGCATTTTGGGGGGAACCATATACCGACTTGAACTATCTGTTTAGTGAAGACTCAATGTCGTCAAGTCAATCTACGACTATGGAGTCAAAGGTAGGCATGGACCCAACCGGGCCGAACCGGCCCGGAACTGGACCGAACCGGCCCGGAACCGGACCGGCCTGCTACTGTGCGGGCCCGGATGGCCGGTTCCGGGCTTTAGCCCGGTTTGGGCGATTCTGGCGGGCCGGTTCCGGGTCATGATTTTAATGAACCGGCCCGAGCGGTTCGGGTCGGGCCCGGTTCAATGTTTTTTTCATTTTTTTTTCTTTTCCTTGGGTAGGGCTGGGTGTTTTGGGGGAGGGGGGGGGGGGGGTTTGGGGGTGGGGAGTGAGGGAGGGGGTTAATTAGAAAGCCAAAAAAATGCATAGAACTGGGCCCGGCCTGTTTTGTCCCGGACCCGGTATCAACCCGGGCCGGTTCCGGGCCCAACATTCCGAAAAAAAAGCCCGCCCGGGCCTAGGCCCGGCCCGGAACCGACCCGGCCCGGGTCCACCCCTAGTCAACGGTTAAGAACGCACAAATTGACCGAGTAGGAAAGTAGCATTAACTATACTTATTTGTATTATTACACAATTTAGTGCACAAAATTAAAAGTTATTTGTTTGATAAAAAAAATTATATGATAAAACTGACATGACGAAAATGAAATTATCAGATAGGCTTTTAAGCTCTCTATAAGTAACAAAGTTCTTTTTTTTAGAGAAGAAAACTTATACTACGTATTAAAATAGAATAAATCGTCATCCCACCAACATCAGTAGACCAAGCCCACCCTCTAGAGTCTAGACTCATTAAAGCCAACATGTCCCCTCACTCTGTGATCAGACATAGAATAGACCATCCAAAAATGAGCAAGATTAATCGTTAAACATGTGAAAGCTTCAAAACTATTATCGGCCAAACAGCCTGATTGCTTCAAAGACAATGTTGCCTAGTGAAATAAAAATCAGGACCAACTTACCATTCCCAGGATAAAAAGCTACAATAACAATAAAACATTTATAAAATCAGATAAAAGTAACTAAAAGGCAATAATTATGGAACACCTGGCGACGCTTCTCCGCTGCACCCTCATTCAAATAGTTCTGTGAGGCCTTCAACAAAGTGCTTAGCGAGCCATAGAGGTGCAGCTCACCTCATTCCCGTTTTTAACATCCTTGATTTCACCTTCATGCTGGTACTGCCAGACTCAACCTCCTGTTGATAAATTCAGTCCCAATTAGGATCTAATCTCACTAAAATGATAAAATTCATAGAATCAACAATAAGAATACTAACAGGTTGAGGAGAAATCGAACGTTGATGGTGACGTAGAAGATGATGAAGTCATGACGCTTAGATTCTCTAAGGATACAAGTGGATTTTGATGGATTAAACGATCTTCTTTGGGTCTCCTAATATAGGTGTTCTTGAGACCTTTGGGGAGAAACGTGTCCGGTCATTTTAGTCGTAAGAATGGAACGTACGGGTGTTTTTATCTTCTATCAAAGAGAAACTCATTTGATCCCTTATGTATTATTTAATGTTAAAACATACCCAACATATGTTAACTATACATACATATAAGGACCAAATTTGTCATATGAAAAACTTAATGGTAAGACATAAATGTCCTCAATTATAGGGAGAACTATCAAATAAGCCCTCAAATTTTCATAAAAAGTTCAAATAAGCCCTTTTACAGGAGGCTTTTTTCCGGCTGTCGTCATTTGGGGCGGTTTCCGGTGGAATTTTTTGATAATTTTTTTTAGCATCTTCTTCATTAAGTCTAGTTTACCCATATCAAATTTCATCTAAAAATTCAATCGATAAGAAAGTCAAATGATTTTCTGAAATATACTGCGTTGTCTAACTGTGCAGTTATCTTCAAAAATTCATTTGACTGCCTTTCCGATTGAATTTTTAGATGAAATTTGGTATGGGTGAACTAGGTTTAATGAAGAAGATGCTCAAAAAAATTCATCAAAAAATTCCACCAGAAACTACCCCAAATGGCGACAGCCGGACATAGCCTCCTATAAAAGGGCTTATTTGCAGTTTTTATGAAAGTTCGAGAGCTTATTTGGTAGTTCTCCCTAAATTAATGGTCCAAGGGCATTTAAATGGAATATTTTTCAACACCTCCTCCTGGTTTGCTCTCTTGCGCTTTTGTTCTACCTTGTCTCCGACATGCGTCTGTACCTTTCCAGTAGCGAAATCGCTCTTAGGATGTTTTTACTTGGACTGTAATTTGCTGGTCTGGTCTGGTCTGATCTGGTCTGATCTGGTCTAGTCTGGTCTGATCTGGTTTCTTTGTATTTTTATAACTATCCAAGTCTGGTCTGGTCTGGTCTGATCTGGTCTGATCTGGTCTGGTCTGGGACGAATTACAGTCCAAGTAAAAACATCCTTAGTGCCGGTCTTTAAAGAGTAATAAGTACTACGGAATATGCACATGAGATAAAATCCACAATTTAAAGCCATTACTCCCTACTTTTTTTTCTCTACTTTTCAAGTGTAGTAAAATTTGACTTTGTAATTTATGATCTGATTACATTAATGTTAGTATGTTACATTCTAAAGTTGGGATCATGATTTGTATGATTGTATCCCATCTCAATCAAGATTGATATTACTACTGAACCCGTACAATAAGTACGTTAAGTTAAAGGAATTGCAAAGAAATTCATGTTCAGCTCTTATTTCAATTCGTAAAATCTTATATGAGTAAATTAAGAGCCCGTTTGGTGATCATTTTTTCGGCTTATCAGACTTATCAGTCAACTTTTTTCACTAAACACGTAACTTTTGATTTCGCGCGCTAGCTAGATTGTATAATAATAAGAAAAAGTAAGGTTATAGTTGCTTTTCTGGTAGGGGTGGGAACGGGTCGGATTTAGACCGGGTGGAGCATCCACGTCCACCCGTTAATTTTTCATATTCCACCCACCCGTCCATTATCATTAAATATTACATCCACATTCAATCCATCTATCATGAACGGGTTATCGGGTGGATCAGGTGCAGAGGCGGAGCCAAGATTTATTCATAGCGGGGGCAAAAAAGGAACACAAAGAACAAAGAAAAAAATCTCTAAATAGGACTAAAATAAAAATAAATTTCATAAATAGGATAATCATTGTTTTATTCTCAAAATAGGACTTATTCACTCATACTTTGGCAAACTCTAATCAAATTATTTTTAATAGAACTAAATAAGATCTATTTGAGGAGTAAAACATATTTTTTCATATTTTAAATCATATATATGTAATTATTTCATGTGGAATGATCGTGTCAGAATTACCTTACGGGATACACTGCATGGATGCATACGTTTGTGGTGCTTCTGGGTGGATTTTTTGATGAAATTTTGTGACAATGTTCTTCATGGTATGTAGATTATTCACATCAAATTTTGGTTTAAAACTCAATCAGCAAGTCGATTGAATAAATTATTGAGAAACACTGCGCCAAAAACTAAATAAAAAATGCAGTATTTTTTCATAATTTATTTAATGGACTTCCCAATTGAAATATAAGATGAAATTCGGTGGATGTAATCTACACTTTAAGAAATACATGCTCATAAAAGTTCATCAAAAAAATTCTACCCGAAAACATCTCAAATGCAAGCTTCTATTCGGTAATTTTAACCCAATCTTTTTTTTCTTATTTCATACTCGTATGTAATACTAATACTACTAAAAAATAAACAGGTTGGGAGGGGCCATGGCCCCCCTAGCCATACAAACACCTCCGTCCCTGATCAGGTGAGTAACGAGTGAATATAAATTGTCTAACTTGAAAGACAAAAAATAAATTATGAGGAGAAACCATAACAATTAAAAACCAAAAATTAAGAATTCAATGAATAATAACAACAAAAACTTGAGTAATTAAGTATTTTACAATCATTAATTCACTACGGATAAAAAAACTGATTGTCAAACAAAATAGATATAAAACTTGTTCAAGCTGTGATTCTACATTTTTGCATCGGCACAAAATCATTTTTGCATCAGCACAAAATCATTTTTGCAGTTCAACTGTCACTTTTTGAAACTATCTGATTGTCTTTATTAAACCAATTCATAGATATGTGTCTTCTCCAATAAAAAATACATATATATTATTATATTAATATTTATTATTATATATATTAATAAATAAATATTATATATTTATATGCGGATTAGCGGGTGAGTGGATGGAGCGGGGGACGGATCGGGTGATGGGTTGGATGAGTGTTCGTCCACACTCGATCCAACCCATCTTTCAATCCACCCGTCATCCATTTTTCATCCATACCTTTTCGGGTTTTCGTCCATATTTTCGGTTCAGATTGACCGGGTATCCACGGGTGCGGGTGATATTGTCAGCCCTATTTTCTGGTTGTATTGACTGAAGCTACTGTTGATAATCATTTTAGCTATTTTGTCATATAGTTTTTTCTTTATTCAATTAGTAAAATATATTTTAATTTTGTTTTCATAAATCAGCTGAATCAGGCAATCCAACCACTTCAGCCAGAAATTCATATATTTCAACAAAATCAGTCAATGAAACCGATTTATGTATTATCAAACGGGCTCTAAGTATAAATGTTATGAAATAGGAGTAAGAATAATAGGATTTTCAGAAAAGAATACTTGGTATTATATATTTTTTCAAAATAAGAATTAGAAAAATTTGTTGGTGGCATAATTAGGAATTAATACGTAGTATGTTACTCCATACTATTAATGAAAAAACTGATGGTACTTTCCAGGAATGACATTAATTCTTCATATTTAAGAAAAAATACAACACTGATATTTTGGAATATCAAATTGTTTTTATTAGTTATTACTACGTATAAACAAGCCAATCTCTAATAATGCGTCTTGAATGAAGACGAAGAGAAGAGTTTAATTTCTAAATTTTTTGAAGTTAAAAGGGAATGGAATCAATTGGGCGTGCCCGCAAGCACTTCACAACGCTGCAGATAAGATAACTGTCTTTGAAGCTCAATTTGCTCGTAGAACTTAGCGATGAACTGCTCCGCCTTCAAATCAATTCCATAGCAGTTCTCGCCATAATCATCCGCCTCTGTTTCCTCGAACAAATTCGAATCGGTACTGCCATTACCGTCACTTTCGCAGGACACGATCCTATCACGATCCTCCTCGCCGTCGCAACCGCCGTCAAATTCGAAATCGCAATCGACCTCGTGAGGGTTGATGCAGGGAATGTGAGGCAGCTTGAAACGGAAGGAGGGGGCGGGACGGCGCATCTTCAGGCGAAAGACAGGGGAGTCGTCAAAAGAGAATTGGCGCTCACCTAGACGGATGGCGGCGTAGGAATCGCGATGGAGGCGGGACTGGCGGCGGTGGAGGCTCTTAACGAACTTGACGGTGAGCTGTAGTCTGTTCCTGAAACGTGTTCCTTTTCTGGCCCAGAGCAATGCTACATGGATCAGATCCCACGCTCTATTAGCTCCCGCCATTGTTGATTTCTTCATCTTATCCGTACTTTTCTGCGTGTGTGTTTTAATTTAATCAACTTGGATTGGAAAGTAGGCGTTGATGAAAATAAAGGAAGCTTTTTCTTCTTCTTCACCCTTTTGCTTGTTGCTATTGTAGATTGCTTTACGGCTTTTTATAGTCCTGATCCAGTGATCCCTTACCGAGGAAGCCTGGAAAAGTGATGGATAATAATATCATATTAAAAGAAAACAATGTTACTTTCAGGGAGTTGCTCGGCGGCCGAGAAGGGAGAGGATGGTAATGAAGGTAGCGGGTTCGTGTTGTGGGAGGAGCAGCCTGAAAGGTGATGTAAGTCCCGCTGGATTCGTCCTTAGGAGTCGGTAGTGACGAGGCTGACTGTGATCAGATCCGGATTTAACTGTCTAGGAGCTTTGGAGGGTAGTTCATAGATTTCAGGATTATGGGAGCGTAAGCCCCGACACCTGGATTATAAAAAAAAAAGAAAACAATTTTCCACACGAATTAGACGCTGAACGGGTCAAGATCTATTTACCACTGTAGACTGAAGTTGACAACGTATTTTCCCCCTAATTTTTGTTGTTGTGAATTTTTTCATTATTTTTCATGTTTAGTTAAATCTAATACGGAGTATTTTTCATGTAACGCGGATTGGTGTTTGGAAGTTACGGAGGACGGAGTATTAAACTTAACAGCAGTGTTAAGCTAAGGACTGAATCAAACACGCTACACGCACTTCTGAATCTCGTACGCAGCTTGTTCGATACGATAACCGTTTTCTGTTTCAATAGAGGGAATCTCCTTAAACAAAATTGAAGACACTATCCTCAAGTACAATTTCCGTAACCGAAAAGGATCATCCATGAAGCCTCCAACTCCGACCGAACAGTACGTTGGGAGGATGTAAATTATACTATAATCCTAATCTGAGAGAGTTAAACTGTGTCTCTGGTACTAGCAGAGATCCTATGCATTTTTAGCATAGTAACTCCTCATCGCAGTTGACGGGATTCGAATCCGAGACCTAACCCTTGTGGCACTCCCTTGCTACCAGTTGACATAACCCGTAACTGAAATTATCTTCCTTCAATTTTATATGTCATATTTTCTTTTGCCACCATTATTAATAAAGTTATTGAAAAAGTAAAAGTTGTTGTTCAAATTTGAACACAATAAAATGAAATGTTGTAAACCGCATATTTCATTCCGAAACAAAAAATGTGACACTTATTTTGGAACACCTTAAAAATGAAAGTATGACATGTAAAATCGGGCGGATGGAATAACTCTTTTTTGAGTTTTGCTGAAATCTATTTCCCAACTAATGGTACATTTATATTTATTTTTCAAAATATGATATTTTCATCCTTGTCCTCCAATTTGTGATGTAATTTGCCACGTCACATTGTCCAGGCATGGTAGGTTACATTGGAGATTGAATGACAATGGTCAAAATACTTTATTCTGCGAAATAAGTTTGTTGGATAATTGATACCCATATTGTATAAACTAGGAAAGATTTGAACAAGAAAGAAGGAGAAGAAGTATTGTGTATGAATCAATATTGGTTGTTGTTCAATAGCCTCCTATAAGGAGTATATATAGGGAAAATCCGGGTCTGGGCCTCTAATATGGTTCTGACAGACCCAGTTACATAAATGGACTGGTAGTACAAAAAACTAATCTAGAACATCTGAATAATAATAATGTACAATAATATGAATGATATCCGCTAAACGTGTGTGGGCCGCTGTCCAGGCCCAGTAGTCGGCAGACCGGGGGGTCGGAGTCCATATACTCCATCAGGAGTCCCCCACTCCCTGAGTCGAAAGGGAGTAGTCCAAACTGTATCTGCAACGTTCGTCTGTCTTTGATTTCTTCCTCTCCGGCCGGGGGACCACCACCCTTGTCCATGATGAGGAGATGCCTCGTTAAAAACCTTTACTAGGAAAAACCCAGTGGGAAAAATCCTAATAAAGGGAAAAAGAATACACCTAACGCCTCCAACATGAAACAAGGAAGGTAGACCCCTTCCGACATAATCGCTTTTGTCTAGTTCAACCTGTCTTCATCTGACTTAGCTCTCGTTCCTGCTCATGCATGATATTTGCTGCTCGTCCAGAAAATCTGACATCTCAGTCCCCCAGTCCCCCACTCCTTGAGGCGAGTGGAGACGAGGTGAAAAATGAGTAAAGGCATCTTCGTACCTACACATTTAACATGCATATAAATTTTTTCTTGGGGTTTATGTTTCCGATCGGGAGTTCGTCACTTGAAAAAAGTGAAAATGTGAATTGTTGATGTCATGATAAAATACTTAGTAGAGTGGAGGTGTGAGCCATTCGTACGCAACTGTCGCCACTCTTGGAATGACTAAGACCGATCTTCGTGCTTGAGAGTCAGGGCTTTGTGCCTGAGAGTCAGGGCTTTGAATCCTAGTGATGGGTCTCAAGCCACACTCTACTAGGCATTTGATCATAAGTGCGTGATAGTGTGATATTCACCCGACAAAAATATTGATTAAAATAAATATAAATAATATTAAAATTAAAGATACTTATCTTTTTGAAGTGGACTGAAATAATTTGGTGGGCTTGACAGAAATGGATAATATCCAGCTGAATCTCGGGCTCATTTGAAAAAATAGATAGCCATGCCGCTGCCTGGCCCATATTCATTTTCCCCTTAACTCCCGTTAGGTCTGGAGAGCATCAGTTCACTACTTGGTTTGAAGAGAAAGATCTGAACCAGATCGTCGCTAGCTGCCTAGTCTCGTCGCCTGCAGGGAGGAAGGGCGGAATCTTTGCTTCCAGCCAGAGAGGCTCGGGTCGCCAGTCCACTACCATCACGCTTACCTTGTCCTCTGCAATTGTCATCGTCACCTCAGGGGGTCAGAAGAGCCCTGGTTGCACTCGCCGCCGGAAAAAGGGTGCGGCAGTGAGACCTCGGTCTAACCATGGGGATAAACTGGATGCGGTCAGCGCCATCGTTGGCCAGAGAAGTCGTCCAGAGATCCCTGATTTCGCTACGACCACCGTGGTTTTGACTCAGGCGTAGGTGTTGACGGAGATAGATGAACGAGCTAAGGGCGACAGGAGGCGGCGCCGCGTTGCAGGGGAAGGGGTTAGCTGTTTGTCGCCGTCAATCGGCCGGTTCAGATCCGGCCGGTTATGCATCAGATCTGTGTCGCTGTTGACCAGTCGGTTCATCAGAGAGTGGAAGAGGATTCATCTCCGCTACTGCTCGGGTCGCTTGGGCGAGGCTGCATCTCCGGAACGAGTCCTCTGTTTTACCACCGAAATGAGTCAAGCCTGCTTATCAAGCAGTCCAGTATGGAGGTGCGAACAGGATGCTGACTTCTTAGCGACGGATGACGGAGGCCATAACTCCGGCTTTGCTGGCGGCGATGTCTACAGATGCGGCGACGGGTGAGATCTAGGATGGTGACGAGGTCTGACAACGAGATCTGGAGCCTGGCGCATGGTAGTGGGTGGTTCTGGCTGCTCTGATTCTCCAGAAGGCAGATTCCATTTTTTCAGAATTGTTTTGGATTTTCCAGAACAAATTTTGCTGGAATTTTTTTGTATTTCGGATGAATTTTTGGTTGTTTTGGGAGTTTTTCTCACTTGATTGTGTTCAAACCTCTCAACGAGAGCACCATTGTTGGACAGTTGATACTCATATTGTATAAACTAGGAAAGATTTGAACAAGAAAGAAGGAGAAGAAGTATTGTGTATGAATCAATATTGGTTGTTGTTCAATAACCTCCTATAAGGAGTATATATAGGGAAAATCCGGGTCTGAGCCTCTAATATGGGCCTGACAGACCCGGTTACATAAATGGACTGATAGTACAAAAAACTAATCTAGAACATCTGAATAATAATAATAATGTACAGTAATATGAATGATATCCGCTAAACGTGTGTGGGCAGACCGGGGGGTCGAAGTCCATATACTCCATCAAAGTTTAATAGTATTCTTAATTGGGAAATTAAGTTTCAAAAGCACCTCTTATAATGAAAAAAAAACTCTTCTTTTTTATTTGTCTCAATAATTTTATCATTCTCTTTCTAAAAACAAAAATGACACGTACAATTCAATTTGGGAGAAATTATAAAGTAGAGAGGGACTGAGGGAGTATGTTTTTAGAATAGTGTCAAATCCTACCATTATATAATTATTATGTGAACAATACTAAAATTATATACAGAGTTAATAATTCAAATTATCAATTCTCTTTACGATCTTCCAAATTTAATTTGCACTAAGTTATTTGCTTTGGTCTACAATACCTATCTCAATGTGATATGATTGTGTTAGAATGATGGCCCAATTAGGGTTCAACCCATCATCCCCTCAAGGCCCACCTGATGATCATCCTCCAAGCTCCAAGCCATTTGGGGCAACTATCCTCAAAACTGTCAAAGGCAGTGAAGATGTTCATCCTCGTTAGGGACGTCTGGCCTCATAATACCCGCCGACATGGGGCAGGCAATCATGGTCCAAGCAACATCAATCAGAGGACATACGTACCAGATAACCGCTTGGTATCTTGGGCCAGGAGGCAACACAAGACACACCAGAGGAAAGATCATGGGGTTGCTCATCCCCAACGCTTGGCGGGAAACCAAGATTCTGACAGGAAACACATTTAATGCAGAAGATTTGGTGGTTAGGGCCCTAGCCATCCACAACCACCACGTCAGCATGTCTAACTACCTCTTGGTGGTATAAATAGTACTCCATCCATCCCAAATTGAATTGAAAACTTTGACCGGCACAAGGATTAAGAAATGAAAATAAACGATGTTTTTTTTGACACTTTTGCTCATCTTTCTAAAAGTAGATGCCTTTAAGTTAATGTGGAAAAAGTAAAGATAAGGGTAAATTTGTCACTTTATTCTTATTTACATACCTAAAATAGAATGTGGAAAACCATTTTGGGACAACCAAAAAATGAAATTTTGCAAATCAAATTGGGACGGAGGGAGTATCATTTATTTCATTGTAAAGGGTTGACAACTTAGCACTCTAGCATTATAGCAATTGTAATCAGCTCTTAATTAGCATATGGCTGGACGAACGGCCTCAGGGCTTTGTAACGAAGTGACTTGTATTATTCGGCTTATTATTGACATTTAATAAGATACGGCTACTTCTTTCGGCTGAAATAACACTCATCTTACTTGTTTAATCATCTAATTCTCCATATCATCCACTCAAAATCCTTGGGTTACGTGTTGGGCCTACGGATTGAAGGAGTGAACCTCAACAGATTGATTATAGTATTATTAGTTCATTTAATTGCAGGTACGGAACATTATGGATGTAGCCATGTAGTTAATAAAAGAAAAAATGACATGTATATTACTGATAGAGTTTTTCCCGAACAAAAATATAATTAGTTATGTTTTTTTTGACAAAAATATGATTAGTCATTGTGAACTAGTCATTATAATGTATTTTAGAATGACAAGTCATTGTAGATGACGAGTCAATGTTATGGAAAATTTTAAAATAATTCATATTTTTGTCATATTTTAGAAGGGGCATAATTCTAGATAATGTCAAAATTATAACCGATTAAATTATGAATATTAATACAAACTATATATAGAAATAATTAGTTCATACCCCAACTATTCAAATATACACATAAAATAATACATAGTTATTTTTGACATCAACTCTGACTATTATACCTATACTATGACATTTGATTATCAAATAAGCTTTTTTATATTTCTACCAAGTTTTTGATGATTTAATGATCGGATTTGAGACAGGAAAGTCACTTCGTATCATTTGTAATATATATTGAATTGTTGGGATATAAAATAGCTATTTAAATAATGTATATTATTACTGTTGGTGATAATTGATATCATTTCAAGTTGTATTCCTATTATAATATCTTTAAAATTGATTTGAATATTTGTATAAAATGCATATATATCAATGAATTTACTTTTATTACTGTGTGATATAACTAGTTTTTAGTTTTAAAACTGAGCAAGATTAACCAATGAAAATATGAGATTACCCTTTCTACTTCCTCTCAATCTAACAAGGGAAATTCTATTGACAGCCGCTCAATTGCTAATCGCAGCCGCCAAATTAAAATTAAATTAATCTTTCTTTTTTAAATAACTATTTTACCCTTCCAAATAAACTAAACTCCTCTATGTATACGACCAGGCCATACGCATACGCAGACTCATCATGGAGTCCGACTGAGTGTTGAACGGCTCAAGGCTCAAAAGCACATAGCCGGGTGTATATAGAATGACTCCTCCAGAAATCATTTGATCGGTAAAAAGATCAATTCACCATGACCGACAGAGCTCCCGACTGGAAATCCCTCAGATTGATTTAGAAGCCTTTTCATTGCTGGGAAGATATCTTCCTAGGGGCTAAGGTCCGTTGATTCCCCTCGACTCCTCTGAAATCTGAATTCACGAAGGTTGCCTTCTACTAGAGCTATCAGTAAAAGCAAATCGTTGTTTTCAGTTCTATCTCTGGTCCTGGTAAAACTCCATGGGAGAGAGATTAAAAAAATCGGCTGCTCCTTGAACGACATGCGGCTCTCGAAGAGGAAAAACCCAAGAGCGTGTCCGGCGACCGCATTGAGGAACACGTCGCCGTTTGCTCTTGAGTCCTTCTACAGCTTCTCCGCCGGCTATGTGCGCGCTCTTGAGTTTTGAGCCGTTCAATACCCAGAGTTTTGAGTCTGTGTATGCGTAGTATAGATAGAGAGGAGCGTGCTTAGTTTAATCAGAAGGGTAAAATAGTTATTTAAAAAAGAAAGATTAATTTAATTTTAATTTGATGGCTGTGATTAGCAATTGAGTGGCTGTCAATAGAATTTCCCATCTAACAATCATGAACAAGGTAAGTTATCGCACATAATAAAAATAAAAATAAAGTCAAAGTCTGGAATTGTTGTGGGTGGTTCAAAAGAGGGGTGAATAATCAGCCTGTTTTTCTTCTCTAACTCGAGACGTTCGTTCGCCTACCTGTTCAAGCACATTCAACTCGCCTTGTTCATTGTGCCGCTCAACGAGTGTGTCTTCTATTGCACCCAATCTGCCTCCTTGGAAGATCAACACGTTCTTTAACTTGCGTACAAGAAACTTGCGAGCAAATCTGTCCTACGCCAAAGAGCCCCCTCCGTTTTTTTTACACTAGCTTATGTGCAGTGAAATTAATGTCACATATTTATATAAATAAAAATTGCCCCATTTTAAGGAACAAAAACATGATAGTCTCATTTTAAAATTTTTAAATTTTTTTACTCCTGTTTAAGGAATTTACTCTTATATTAATAATCAAACATATAACATATTCAATTAAAATGAAAGGACGAAAATATCATAAAAGTATGATATGCATTAAATGTTCTTAAAAGAATACTCTCATGCATATTTGTTTGTTGGGTGAAATATGATGTGTGTTTAAATTCTCAAAAAAGAAGCTTTCATGGAGCTTCTCCTATTTATAAATGTTAGTCCCACAATTATATTCTAAGTTTGACTTTTTATATCACATTTTATGCACTTTGACCATTAATTGCATTACTTTATCACACAAAATTATTAGAGTATATATTCTAGAGAGAAGTGAGAGCTAGAGAGAGAAGTGTGATATATGCTCTAATAAATGATTTATCAACCCCTACAACTACTCCCAAGTGAAGTATTTATAGAGGAAATGCGGGTTGGACCCCCAAGTCTTGGGTTTGGGAGGCCCATTTATAATGGGTCCACTACTGGGCCGAGTACAAAGTATGTAAAAATGACTAAGTATAAAGATCCGGTTCTGTGAGCTCTCTGTGGCCGATGGAGCCATGGCCGACGGAGAAACCCGGTTCTCCTGACTTATGGATCATGTTCTGAGTTGATGTCTTTCTGACCGATGGAGGACCATCTAGCCGACGGAGGTCCCACCGAGTGACAGCTGTGCCTCTTATTCTTCTGAGTATGTGGGTCCTGGGGTCTAGACCCATATACTCCATCACATATATTACTTGTGTTGATTAAAACTTTTTCATCTTTACTTGTATGGTTGTCCCAAAAAGTTGGTGTCATTTCATTTTAATCAATCAATTTGTGATTCATGTATTCTGTCTTTTATCTCCACAAATATCAACCACATAGTTTTTACTTTATTACTCCGTATTATTTATGTTTTTGCTGGTCAAACTTGACAAAATTTTGAAGAATAGATGAAGTATATTGTTCAAATATAAATTTATTATAGATCTGACTATGTAAAATTTGAATAGGTATATATTTTATATTTTTAAGATCAATCTTCAACCTAAAAGAGAGTAAAAGTCAATTTAATTGTGGGATGGAGCAAGTAGTACTAAAGTTGTTTTCTTTTGGATCGTAGTTTGATGGTCTCGTCTAGTCTGATCTGATCTGTTCTGTTAAAGTCTGATATAGCCTGATAAATGTTTGGTCTTCGTGCATTTTATAACTATTCAAATCTAGTTTGTTGTGATCTATTTATGTCTGATTTGATCTAGTCTGTTTAAGTCTGATTTGATTATCGAAAACAATAAAAAATAAAACATCCTTACCGAGAATTACAATTTTTGTAATGTTAAAATGTTTTGGAATTATCAATTCAGGACCCGAAAGATAGATGAATTATTAATCCAGAACCTGAAAGATGAAATGTATCGATATAGGACCCGAATGATGGAAAACTATCAATTTAAGACTTGAATGGTTGGAAATTATCAATTTAGGACCTAAGTTGTCCGAAATTTTATTAATTTTTTTTATCTTAAAATTTTTAAATATTATTTAGTTTTATGAAACTAATAAACTTTTGTGAAGAAAAGTTTATCAAAAATTAGCAATGGAATTAATAAAAAATTAAATAAATCAAAACCTGTGAAATTTTAGGTCTTAGATCGATAATTTTTCATCATTCAGGTCCTATACCGATAGATCTCATCTTTCAGGTCTCGAATTGATAATCCATCTGTCTTTCGGGTCCTGAATTGATAAAATTCCAAATGTTTTTGATGGACGACCGGAAGTGAGGGACCACTCACGCACTCACACTCAAAGAGTCCAAATTCTAAACAAAAATCATTTTGTACACTTTCTCATACACATCACTACATTCTCGTGTCTGTGAGAGTTTATTTTTGTCTGTGAATCCCAGTCCACAAACAAAAACAGACTTGTTTTGTCTGTAGAATTTTTCACAAACAAAATATGTATGTTTTTGTCTATGAACTGTGATTTACTGACACGGGAGTGTACTGATATGTATAAGAAGGTGGACAAAGACTAATTATTGAATTCTAAAACTCCTTACCGTCCTCGCAGGTCAGTTTACATTCACACATGATGCCGACCATACATCATAGGCAGAGTAAAAAATCCATTCTGGATGGGTATATACTACTCCGTATTTGGGATTGCTCCGTACATTTTAAACTTTTAGTTTTGCATCGGAAATTCAACAACCATGTCGCTGAGGCCGACCGCCAAAACTGAGTCCCGCCGGAGCCGGTACAAGGTCGCCGTTGATTCCGAAGATGGACGGAGAAGGAGAGAAGAGAACATGGTGGAGATCCGGAAGAATAAAAGGGAGGAGAGTTTGCTCAAAAAACGCCGCGAAGGTCTTCAGCCTCAGCAATTACAGGATTTGCAGGAGTCTTCTGCCGTTTCCAAACCCCCCAAAAAGGTTCGGTTTGAATTGGCAGCATATTTTACCAACTCAATTGCCCAGTTCATTGTCTATTTGTCTGGCATCTCCAGCTGGATCATAGCAATCAAACGTCGGTTTGACCTTGAATTGTGATCACTGATCAGTACTAACATATTATTCATCTGATGATCTGATCAGTAGCGTAACTGCAGATTATCCTGTTGGACTATTGCATATTATTCATTTAAAGTTGTGTTTTCAATCGGTGTTCAGATTAAACTTGGATAAAAACTCAATAACCAAAAATCACTATAAAAGTATAAACATCAGTACCAATAAAAATGACCGAGTTAAATTAGAATAAAACATGGAACCAACCAAAACGAATTGGTCAATTAGTTAATTATAACTGACAGAAAAGAACATCTTAGTCCAGAGTCCTGACTAATGATGTATTGTACTCAAGTCCCTGAGAGCTTATTATGCTCTAACGTCAATCAAGCTACGAGAGTGTTGAAATATACATTTATAGAATGCCTAAGAAAGTATAGGTTCATCCATTAGCTTCATGGCCACTACTCTCTAACCAAATGCTAATATATAAACCTTTAGAATTTGTCAAGTGCATTGTTATATCAATAGAAACCTTGCTGTATAACAAGTTTGATTGGACCATGTAAACTTATTGTGTTTTCAATATAAAATGTTCTCCAGTCTCCATATACTTCACTGCTCACTGAGTTTTTAATTTCCACTTTCTAGCTAGAAAGTCTTCCTGCTTTGGTTTCTGGAGTCTGGTCAAATGATGGCAATTTGCAACTTGAATCGACCACCCAGTTCCGGAAGCTTCTTTCAATAGGTTCCTCCTTCAAGTTCATTTTCAAATGAGATATCCCTACATGTTTCCTTTTCATTATTTTCTTGGTCATGTTATATGTTGTATATGTACATTCTCTATTTGCATTTCATTTTTGGCAGAACGCAATCCACCAATAGAGGAGGTCATACAATCTGGAGTTGTTCCTCGCTTTGTTCAATTTCTTGCTAGAGATGACTACCCCCCGCTACAGGTTTGAATTGGTTGATGTTGCTTGTTCATTGAAACATCCATATCTTCATCACCAAACTTCTTCTTTTAAAGTTTCACATTCTATTTTCTAGTTTGAAGCTGCATGGGCTCTCACGAATATTGCATCTGGCACATCAGACAATACAAAAGTTGTTATTGATCATGGTGCTGTACCAATTTTTGTGAGACTTCTTAGTTCCCCAAGTGATGATGTTCGTGAGCAGGTATATGTAGTGGTATCTTTGAATAGGACGGTTATTGTTTAGGATTATTTCTACTTGCTTCTCTCTCACTCTCTCTCAATATATTTATGTCCTTCATCGACCAACCCCCCAAAAGAGGTGTTTGGTCAAGACTCATCTTTTTAATTTTTGCAAGGTACAACTGTTAAATATTCTTTTCTACCTTTCCTGTGGACGATTGATGTCTTTTCTACCTTTCCTCTCTTTTTTCTTTTATCGTTTATCTTCTTTATCTTTGTATATTCTTATGTTATTTTTATATTCTAGCTTTTTATGCTCTTTTTTATCTTTTATCTTTCTTATATTCTTGTGTTATTGTTATCTTATATTTATTTATCTTTATTTTATTCGTTTTATCTTACTTTTTTTCTTCCCTTTCTTGTCCGTCTTCTCTGTTTGGTATCGATATCATTGCATCCGTCTTCCCTTTGTTGTTGTTGTTGTACAACTGTTAAATATCATGGCATCCTGATATTTTCGAAGCTATTTTTGGTCAAACTGGACATATGAATATGAACATGTTTGTAACGATATTTGGCATTTTATGGCAAATTAACATGAAAAGTTAGATCCGTTTGATGAATTAGGACTCTTTTTTGGGACTTTTTCAAGCATGACCCTTTTTGTCACGGTTAAATGACGTTTACAGGCTCACAATTCATCTCAATTGAATAGTCACAATATTGTTCAACCACTTTAGATTTTGATGTGCGTGTTACATATAGGCTGTTTGGGCATTAGGAAATGTTGCTGGTGACTCACCCAAGTGTCGTGATCTTGTGCTCAACTGTGGAGCTTTGATGCCACTTTTACTGCAATTTAATGACCAAGCAAAGTTGACTATGCTGAGAAATGCAACATGGACGTTATCCAATTTCTGTAGGGGCAAGCCTCAGCCACAATTTGAACAGGTTGGACTACTTTTTCGATATACACACATGTGTGGGTGTGTGCACTTCTTTTTCCTAATAGGATACATGGCATTTCATAAATGTTAGTTTTGAGAATTATTATCTTTTTAGCTCCGATTTCATGTGTTGATTCATGTTAGCCGACCCCAAACTCTTTTGGGACTAAGGCTTGGTTGTTGTTGTTGTTGTTGTTGTTGTTAGTTTTGAGAATTATATGCAGATGAAAGCAGCTCTACCTATCATTGCACGCCTTATACATTCTGGTGATGAGGAAGTCCTGACTGATGCATGCTGGGCTCTCTCTTACCTATCAGATGGCACTAATGATAAAATCCAAGCTGTAATTGATGCTGGAGTCTGTAACCGCCTTGTTGAGCTTCTATGGTGAGTTGAATGGTTGTGTTTTTATCTTTTGCTGAGGGCCCTTTTCTTTTTAAGAGTCAAAACAATTTCTCTTTTCCCTTCACATTCTTTCATTGTCTACAGTCATCCTTCACCATCCATTCTCATACCTGCCCTCCGTACTGTTGGTAATATTGTTACTGGTGATGATATTCAGACTCAGGTACTCACTTTTTTTTTGTTTGCTGTGAATTTGTTTTAATGAAATATTGAATATATCTGCTAGTACAAATAAAAGGATGTGTTTTTCCCAAATCCTTTCTAAATTCCCTTGTGGATTGTGATCAAGTTAGGTCCATAAGTTCGTTTAGTAAAATGTTTTAAAGTGTTTTTTTGCTCCAGAAGTTCATTTGGTAAGATGAAAAAGTGTTAACCTTGAAAGCTTACATTGTACTCCGTAAACTAACTTGAAAGTCATGTCACTCAAAAGATGATTTTAAGCAAGAGCACCCACATGCTCATGAAATTGTTAGTTACTTAATTTAAAATCAGGCTCACAGTACTTGTGTCATAATAAACTTGCAAACAAATTTTCTCCCTTTTTCTCGGAGTACAGCTCAACAGTTCTGACCCAATTCAGCACTTTATCAAAATCATACGGCCCATACCAAACTGGTCCTTGGGGTATTAGAGCTGTGTTCCATTGGGTATTACACTATTACCGTATTACTACTTCCATCCCTCTAAATTTGCCATTTGTCCTTTTTCTGGCTGTCTAAAGTAAATAATTTTTGCTTCTTATTATTTCTTTCTACGCTGCTCAAAACTCAATCAAATAGTTCTTGCTTTCTTATTCTGCATGCCCTTCAAACTTGTCAAAGTTATAAGGGCGACTGTCACTTATGTAAGAAAAGTAAGAAATGCTTAGGCTTATATAACGCAAGGAATTTTTTACTCCCATTGCAGAGTCTTGTTTGTGTTTTATGTCGTTGTTCATGTGTAATATTGCAGCATCTGATAGCTTTTTTTTAGAGCCCGTTTGGTAACACTAAAATTGGCTGAATTGGCTGATTCTGCTGAAATTTATGAAGTTCTGGCTTAAGTGATTGTATTGGCTGATTATGCTGATTCATTAAAAATTTATATTTTAAATATTTGTTATGAATAAATTAAATAAAAAATTATATGAAAAAATAGCTAAAATGATCCTCTATAGTAACTTCACCTAGTACAGCCAGAAAAGTAACTTCAACCTTACTTTTTCTGCTTATTACAAAATTTAGCGCGCGAAATCAAAACTTACGTGTTTGATGAAAAAGCTGGCCGATAAGCCGAAAAAAGGGGCCACCAAACGGACTTTTAATAAATAAACGGTTCCTAAATTTCAGGTTATTATTGACCATATGGCTCTTTCTTGCCTTTTTAACTTATTGAGTACAAATGGCAAGAAAAGCATCAAGAAGGAGGCTTGCTGGACTATCTCAAACATTACAGCTGGAAACAAGGACCAGATTCAGGTAATCCTGGACAAGGCAGAATTTGTCATGTTTCTCTGAAGTATGGGTGTGAAAACAAATATACCGTTATTCTATTTTTCGGAACAACTATACCCCTGAAGTATATGTTAAAGTGCATATATACCCCCGAACTTTTAAAAAGTGCAAAAGTACCCCTCATGTTCTTATAAAAAACAAATTTACCCTTATTGAATTTAAACATATAAAAAAAAATTCAAAAAACACCAAAAATAAATTATAAATTGGAAATTTAAAAATAAAGATTTATTATTATGTTAAAATATTAACTCTTGTGGTTGAACTCGTTTACAGATAGGGTCATGTGTTTCATTCTTTATCAAAGTAGTTCATGTGTTTGAATTCCGTTATCACAAGAGGGTCACGCCGTTAAAAACGTCTGAAAAAGACCATTAAAAGTAACTCCGATTTTCAAAAGTGCCCGAAAAATTAAAAGAAAAATACCGAAAGGTGCGCCTCGTCAAGATGACCTCGAAACCACCTTCGCCTTTGGATTTTTCAGATCTGTTTGAATTATTTTTTAAAAATGATTTCGCTAATATCACTTTTCCGATGAACTTTCCGGTGACAAGGGTAGCTGAAAACAAAAAAGAAAGATGGCCTAGCAGTCGTCTTATTGAGGCGCACCTTCCGGTATTTTTCTTTTAATTTTTCGGGCACTTTTGAAAATTGGAGTTACTTTTAACAGTCTTTTTCATACGTTTTTAACGGCGTGACTCTCTTGTGATAACGGAATTCAAACACATGAACCACTTTGATAAAAATGAAACACATGACCCTATCTGAAAACGGGCTCAACCACAAGTACCTTTTTCGTATTTTTCCCTTATTATTTTTCCGTTGTAAATGAAGCACTTCAAATTCAACAATATTAATTTTAGTCTTGTTGTGAAAATTTGAACACATTGTTCTATTTTTTGAAATAACATTTTTTGATTTTGTTGAACCTTAATAAAATTAAATTCACTATTTTGTAATCTTGGACTATTTATCGTCATACAAAATATGTAATTTTAGAGTGCAAAGAATGCAATTTTTTTTTATTTATTTATTTTTATTATTATTTTTTTATTAATATATGTTTTAATATATATTAATTAAAATATATATTTTACATATATTACATATATGTAATATATATTAAATTAATATATATTTTACATTGCGACGCATATGTTAACACTTTTTTCGAAAGAATCTTAAATATATAGTTTAGTTTTGAAATAATATTTTATACTAACAATATTAAATTGTGATATACAAACTTTAAAAGAGAGAATTGGGCACAAGTACATTTTTAATTTTTATTTTATTTTTAATTTCGAATTTTTAATTTATCTTTGTTTTTTGAAATTTATTTTATTAATTTAAAGTCAATAAGAGTATATTTTCTCCTTTATAAAAACATTAGGGGTATTTTTGCACGTTTTAAAAAGTGAAGGGGTATATATGCACTTCCACATATACTTCAGGGATATATTTGTTCCAAAAAATAGAACATGGGTGTATTTGTTCTCACACCTATACTATAGGGGTATATTTGTACCTTTTCCCTACTATTATTCATCAAAATAATAAAAAAGCAACTTGTTTTTTCTTTTTCTCCAATTAACAAGTATAAATTTGAATCGGCATGTCAGTTTTCCTACTCCAGCTCCCTGCTCCCTGGTGCATCTAGTAAATTGAAAGTTATTTTTTACATTACCAGGCAGTTATTGATTATGGTATAATTGAACACCTTGTTGATCTACTCCAAAACTCTGAGTTTGAAATAAAGAAAGAGGCTGCATGGGCAATCTCAAATGCTACCTCTGGTGGATCTCCTGCACAAATCAAGTATGTCTCTGTCCTCCAGTTTTTATATTTTGTATCTACTGTCCCAAATTGTTTGACTATTCAGCCAATAACTTTTCCCTGGAACATTTTTCTTTTTAGTATTATATATTATATGCATATTTTTTTACAAATCTTCTGACTTTGCTCATATTACTCTCTACAATAAATGATTTTCTTTCTTGAAAAGAAGAAAATGTATTTAATAATAAACAAGGTATAAGAACACAAGGGCGATTTGAAAGGGACCTTAATATGTGTGATTTTCTCTAAAATATCAATTATTTTTCAGATGTAGAGTATATAATCCGCTGCTTATCATATCTCGATGCATGAGGAGCTAATTTTTTATTTCTTTTTCCATGGGAATGCTTGGAAGGTTCTTAGTATCAAAGGGTTGTATAAAGCCTTTATGTGATCTTTTAGCTTGTCCTGACCCAAGAGTTGTAACGGTCTGCTTGGAAGGACTTGAGAACATTTTAAAGATGGGTGAAGCTGAGAAGGATGGAACAGATGGGGTTAACACATTTGCACAATTAATAGATGAAGCGGATGGGTTAGAGAAGATTGAGAATCTTCAGATGCATGATAATCAGGATATATATGAGAAGGCAGTTAAGATTCTTGAAACTTATTGGTCGGATGAAGATGAAGAGCAGATGCCTTCAGTTGGTGGTGGTGGTGGTGCTCCATCACAAACTGGATTTAACTTTGGGGGTGGGGATCCTTCTGTTCCTTCTGGAGGGTTCATGTTCACCTAAAGGTTTGTTTCCTTAATATGTGTTTCTTTGGTTTGAGAAGAGGCTAAACACAGAATGATGGGTCATTGCGGGACAGGACCAGACATATTATTGTGTCCTGTCTTGAAAGAATCTTTAGGAAGATGTAGAGAAACTGTTTTCTTTACAATCTAAAATTCAAACATATTGTTAATTATTTTATTTTTAATACCTATGAGTCTATGACTCATTAAGCTGTGGTGTTTTGTTCATCAAATTACATGTAATATAGTTTGTTTAAGTTATCCCAATATATCCCTTGAGAGACTTCCACAGGGGGCATCTGCCTATTTGTTTGGTAATGTAATGTGCTGCATGTATATTAGGTTCTATTTATTTTCTGATGACAAGTGTTTGGTGCACATCAATGTTACGCTGAATTCTGCTTATTGTGTTTATCACGCTGAATCCAAGCTCAATCTATTTACAACGCTGAATTCTGCTCATTATGTTTATCATGCTGAATCCAAGCTTAATCTATTTAGAACGCTGAATCAGCAGAATAAACAAGACAAGGGTACCAAACAGAGCCTTAGGCTAAGTTTCATTGCTCGAATAGTCACATTTGAGATTATTGTCTTGCAAATATGATACACAATCCCAGAGGAAAGCTAAAACAGTAAAGCGGGTACACAGATCCGATCAAATGGTAACGACAAAAAGTATGTATTGATAATAGAAGGTAACCGTAGGCAACATTCAATATCAAATAACCAACTAAATAGCTAATTACTTAACAACCCTTCCCCTTCTATTTATATTACTAAATGTACCCTTACTATTATTAATATTTCTTATTATTAGCCTACTAAGACATATTCTTATCAATACTCCCTCCTAAACAATCACCTTGTCTTCAAGGTGGATGATATGAAACAACCATGATCTGATGATCATCCTCTTCCACTTCATCCTGGCACCTCTTTCTTCCCAATACCTCACAGCTTGCTTGACCATGACCTTCATTACTTGACCTTTCATCTTAACATCTTTCACAGCAAATAGGGGCAGAAACTGGATTTAAGAACTCCCTGGGATTACACTTGAAGCTTCTTCTTTGTAACTAATATCATCATATAAAGGTTCTGCAAGGTAAAATCCAGCTGCACTTGTAGTAATTGCAGTTGCTACATCATAGAGAACCGCAACATCTAGCTTACCTAGATCTTCATCAGAATTCAGCAGTATCTTGATATCTTCCCTAAAATAGAAATAATTTGGGGAGTTTCATCTCTAAAGGGTTCACCTAACTAACAAACTATAACCTTTTCAAGAACACCCATCCAAACTTGAAATGTTCTCTTCGTAGACCTCTTTAGGACTTCCATAAATACTGGATAAGAAGCCTCGTGGATGTCACATTTGGATAAAGCAAAGAAGCCCCCAAGCAAGCTATTCACTTTTAGTCGTATATCCAACTCATCAGTCTTCGCTCTAGATTGCATCATAAGAGAATTATCAGTGTAGACTGCCCATTGATAAGCTCCATAAAGAGTTTTCATTCCCTCCAGCAATTCTATTGCAACTTTGATATTATTAACAACTTCAGTTTTCAAGTCTAAATCCATCAGGTGCTCTTCTTTCCCTTCTGACAGAATGCCTTTACATAGTATGGGGTACTTATCCCTAGAGTCCTGTATGTTCTAGGCCAAAGTCTGCAGCGATTCTTCAATAGAATTGAGCTGAGAGTCCCCTTGGATAGTCTGTCTTACTCCCAACTGATGCCATTTAATGATTTGTTTCTGAAAATTAACTTCCACATCCTCAGACTAGTCAGCCATTCCATGCCAAGAACCAAATCAGTTTCCCCTAATTCCAATATATAAAATTTCTGGTTTATAATAGTGTCCTGCAAACTTAAGCCCAATCTCTCACATCTGCCCTTGTTGGTGATCTTATCCCCATTTCCAATCTGAACCTTGTAACCAGAAATGTTCTGATATGGTATACCCCATTGCTCCACCAATCTTTGTGATATGAAATTGTGGGTAGCCCCACTATCAATCAGTACTTCTACTGGTAATTCTCCCCAGTCCCATTTCAGATTGCTTGGCACTTTAAAAGCTCTTATTGAAGGTATCCCCCCGCTCATCACAGAAAGTTGCATGGTTTTAGACTCCATATTAATCTCCTCTTCCTCAGCCAATTCTGGTTCTGTCACTTCCTGGTCCTCCTCACCCTCTGAATCTTTTACTAAAATCAGCTTATAATTCTTCAACTTACATGTGTGTTCCTTACTCCACTTTTCCCCGCATTTGAAACAAAATCCTCTCCTACTCCTGTCTTGGTATTCCTCTTGAGACAGTTGAGGTCCTACTCGCTTTATCCGTGAGGGATTGATTTCAGTCACCCTTACCCCTCCTGGGGTGTACCAAGGCTGTTTTGCTTTGTTATCTGCAGTTTTGTTTTTCAGTACTGGGCCAGGAATTTCCACCCTTTGCCTTAAATCCTTCACCCCAATTTGGTGATTTGAAGTTCATGGTCCCTTCATCCTTCTCCTTCAAATAAACAACATCATTCCTTTGTTCAATCAGGAGCGCCCTATCCATGATGGCAGATAAGGACTTGGAATTATATAACTTCAGTTCAACCTTAACATCCTCCTTGAGGCCATTAATGAAGATACCTCTCATAATACCTCTATCTACATTTTTCTGGGGAGCTATGATCATCTTGAATTCCTCCCTATATTCCTTTACAGTCCCCGTTTGTCTCAAACTCAGCATCGGCTCGTACAGATTCTGTAATATATCTGGTTGGAACCTTCGGATCACAGCATCCTTCAGAATTTCTCAGGTTCTCTCCTCCGCTTGGTGTTCCCACCATTGAAACCAGTTTAAGGCTCGATCCTCCATTGCAACTACACAGACTTCCACCTTATCTTCCTCATCTATCTGGTTCAATCGGTAATAGCGTTCCATCCTCACAATCCAGTTGTAAGCACCTTCGCCATTAAATAGAGGTAGGTCTACCTTTCTACCCATATGAATGCGACGAGTGTGAGCTTGAGAATGCATCGAATTACCTCTCGTTTGCTCTGGCCTACTGGGTGATCGCGAACGATGGCTGTGTTTTGATCATGATCTTCCCTGGGGCTGATCGCGAAGGCTCTGAATCTGTTCGTTCATGACGGCCATCGAAGCTGCGACGTTGCTCTGAATCTGTTCATTCATCGTCGCTATTGAAGCTGCGATGTTTGCTAGTTCCCGTTCCAACGTATCAACTCGGTTTTCCATTTTTGATCTCGTTCTAACCATCCACCTCTGTAACGCAGACTAGATTGCAGGCGTGATTCACTTTCCTATCCTCAATAGCGACTCCCACTGTGGTCGCCTATCAATTCCGATCACCGGGAGCTAATGCTCTGATACCATAGATAGACACAATCCTAGAGGAAAGCTAAAACAGTAAAGCGAGTACACAGATCCGATCAAATGGTAACGATAAAAAGTATGTATTGATAATAAAAGGTAGCCGTAGGCAACCAAGTCTATTAGAGAAGACCACTCTCCAAGGCAACACTCAATATCAAATAACAACCTGCCATAATTAGCTATTGGCCTACTATTTATAGTAAAAGGTATCCACGCAAGGTCCAAAAACAAATAACCAACTAAATAGCTAATTACTTAACAGCCCTTCCCCTTCTATTTATATTACTAAATGTACCCTTACTATTATTAATATTTCTTATTATTAGCCTACTAAGCCATATTCCTATCAAAATACATTTAAAATGTGAAGTTATTAGATCTCACGCTAACTTTGCATCTATTATCATTGTTGCCACTATTGCAAATTTCCAAGTCTTGCTCTTCTTTTTTCATCTCATCAGTCCTAACTTGTTTTCAAAACGGTTTATAAAGGAGCAAATAATGTTTGTTCAGGTCCTAAGGGGTAACCAGAACAAATAAACAAGTAACACCGGTTCACCTAGAATTTGCAAGATTTGGTCATTTGGTTCGATTCCCACTCACTTTCATGCCCTGATGAAGAAATAAGTGATGTCTTGCATCAGAGGAACTGGACAAAAAATGGTAAGCAGTAGCAGATTCAGTTCTGGGCGTGGTAGTTAAAAATGGTCTTTCCAGATATGGTCCGGAAATGGGGCCATTTTCACACTTAATTTTTTTGACAAGTTCACCTCACATAAAACAAAATGAACATATTTTAATTAGATGTTCCGTGTATAAATATGACTAAACCGAGTCCTACAAGAGTTTAAGCAAGTGAACATTATTCTACAGTTAAGTAACACTTTCAAGTCCTACGTATTATGAGCTCATCCTGATCCATCTTATTCTTATTCCTGTTATGCTCTAAGCTTCCTCATTAACCACTTCTTTCGTAGTTTAACGTCTAGGGCCAAAAATATCTTTGCTCTCTTTTCATCCTCTAGGAAATCGCATGCGTCCAAAATAAGGTCATCATCCATCTCAGGCAGGGCCTGGATTGCTTTGATCACTTTTTCTATGGAAACACAATTTGAGCATTCTTTCTCCTCCTCATCCATTATTTTACCTGTCCCAAAAAAAAACACTCGCTTTAGGCGGGGGTGAGGGTGGGGGCTCAAATAAAAAACAAAAACTATAATACATTGATAGAAACCAGAATATCACAGTAGAAAAATAGAATAGAATATTATTGTTGAAGATTTCAGAGATTGAACTGGATTACAATGGCGTAGACAGAAAAAATAGAGAAGAACGGATATTGTTGAGACTGTTCGAGTCGTCTCCCACTCCCAAGCCTAATCCCAGATCCCAAATTTCTGCCTAACCCCCTCCTTCCTTCCTTCCCACTCTTATATAGTAATTATATCCCAGAATCCTTATTTATACAATACCACACTTATTTAATATAAATCCATTACTAGTATTATTATTCTCTACAGCCCAGGGCCCTATCATATCTCCCCCCTTCAACAACCACCTTGTCCTCAAGGTGGGTGATAGGAGACAGCCTTGATCTTCCACTTCATTTTCATCGTGGTGCCTCTACCTTCCCAGTATCTCACTGATTTCTGAGCGGGGATCTTCAGCACTTTATCTTTTCAATTGACATATGTTTCTGCAGCATGGGATCTATCTGGTGAAGTTTCATTCTCTTCATTAACCTTCAAACCTTCAATAGCCACTAACTTTTCCTTGCTTTCTTGAGGGTCCTATGAGGTTCTCTTTTCTGAAACTATCAATGTGATGGATGCAAGATTGATGTAGCTCAACTCCAGGTCTGCAAACAGCCTCATGCAAACTTCTCCAATTTTCATCGACTTTTCTGTACGGCAACTAGTATCAATGACAGAATAATTGTAATAGCAGGATTTGTTTCATAAAACTTCAACAGCTGACAGCAGTTGTGTACAGTAGTGCTGTCATGCGATTTCAGATTCTCTAACAGCCAAAGTCCCAAATCTGAGAATTTTTCTTCTTTCCTTTCCCCTATAGGCTCATTAATTAGAAGGCTATGCTCAACCACCAGAAGCTTTCTGAATGGTATAGTTGCTTTAGTCTCTTGAGAAACAATGTTGTGAGTCAATCCATTCTCAGCCATAGCAGAATTTGTGTTCATGTCCTGAACACCAGCATTCTCCTCTACCTGTATCTGCTCATTAGGGAGTACTGAACTAGAAAAAACTTCAACTCCCTTTGACACTTCACTCATTAACCTAAGATTGACGGTAACATTTTCAGAAGTAGCATGATAAACTTTACCCAAAACCGAGTTGAAGGATTCCATAGCACTTCGAGAAGCTTCAGAAACTGAATGTCCCAACGAAGCATGAGCTGCAGCAACCATAGTCCTAATAGGCAATACCAGAACCTCCACACCCCTAATGGTAGAATTTTGAATACCTTCAGTGCCACGTTGATTGTAACTTTTATCATTAGGAACACTAGGATCAGCTTGCCCCAGATTCTGCGGAGCCATTGCAAGTGGGGACGGTTGAGTTGTATCATTTTTCGAGTCGGGTTCCATGATTGACTTTACCGCCGGCTTCCAGTCAGTGTTCTTTGTCGGTGGTGGACTCCCCAACAATCCATTCCATGATTCGACGAAGTCTACAGCTCTGGAAACGGATGCATCGGGTAAGAACGATGAAGCTGATGAGGCTAGAGAGGCTAGAGCACTGTGAGATGCGGCTTGAGATGTCATCTGTAAACTGGTAGAATTGGTTCGCATCTGCGAACTAGGAGAGACAACAAAAGATGATGCTGACTTCGAGGTCACCTGCGAACTAAGGACATCTGTTCGCGAAGAAGCTGAAGCAGCTTGAGATGACATCTGCGAACCGTGAGAAGATATTCGCGATTGCGAACTATGAGATGGAGTTCGCGGAGTCGCCAGACAGCTGGAAGGAAGTGCTTGTGACTGAGAGGAAACCTGCGCACGCGAGGATGCCTGCGAACTAAGCGAAGCAGTTCGCGATTGCGAACTAGGAAGAGCAACAACGGAAGAAGACACCAGATTATTTTCAATCGGCCGACGGTGTCTAGGAGGGCTCCTCGCTCTGTCTCTATGTCGCTTTATTTTGTGAAGAATTTTGCCCAACTTATGGCGCATCTCCTTAGCCCAATCACTTTCAACCTTTTCCACCATCTTCTCTCCTTTTCCGCGCGAAGTATCCTGATCGGATCTTCCATGCTCCCTGCACAGTTCCTTTCCGCCATGAGTAGACACACGCTCCTCAGTGTTCGCGCGCAAACCAGAGGCGATCACTTTCCGTTCTGTCCTTAGATATTCCTTGCGCTGCTCCATTTTTTTATCGCGTGACTTAGATGGAAGCTTCCCAGGACAACTGCTCTGATACCAATGATAGAAACCAGAATATCACAGTAGAAAAATAGAATATTATTGATGAAGATTTCAGAGATTGAGCTGGATTACAATGGCGTAGACAGAAAAAATAGAGAAGAACGGATATTGTTGAGACTGTTCGAGTCGTCTCCCACTCCCAAGCCTAATCCCAGATCCCAAATTTCTGCCTAACCCCCTCCTTCCTTCCTTTCCACTCTTATATACTCCCTCCGTCCCATTTTGTATGATACTTTACGGTTTACGATGTTTGACCGATGATAAAGCAAATTGATCCCTGTAAACACTCAAATTAGTTTTAGAAAATAAAATTTACATATCCAGAAACTACATAAAAACCGCTACAAAACCTGCAAAAAACAATTCAAATTTCATAAATTATTGATATATAAAGTAAAAGATTAAGAGTGATTTAAGTTGACCAAGTGAATAGTAAATGTATCTTACAATTTGGGACTGAGGGAGCAGTAATTATATCCTAACGGGCCAGCCCATATTCTATGACATGGCCCAGAATCCTTATTTATACAATACCACACTTATTTAATATAAATCTATTACTAGTATTATTATTCTCTACAGCCCAGGGCCCTATCATACATTTAAGGGCCCAAATGAAAGTTAATACTCCACTTGTCTCATACATGGAATTGTGTAACCCATATTGAAATTTATTTAAGTATGGATAATTTAAATACTCTCTTTCTATGAAGTAATTGTTTATTTTGTAAAGACACGTTGTTCATGAATAATTTTCCATTTAAGAAATAATAAGTTACAGAGTATCAAATAATAAAATGACCATATTATTTTGCACACACGCAGACAAATGAGTGTACCAAAATTTCCTTCCCACTTAATAAAGTGAGAGTGTATAGGTATAGTAGATGTAAAGAAAGGAGAAAGAGTTTTAACCACACAAGTCATTCCTTAAAGGCAAATGAGAAGAAGATTTTGGCACATCCCAAGAAGGAAAGTGGGAAGTAAATTATAGGACATATGGAGTGATAAATTAGAGAGGGAGGGGTGTTTCGCCTGTGTTACCTGCCAAAGATGAAGTTGTGTTTGCCATCTCATGAAGAGCATGTGCAATGCCCTCCTCTTTACTCCGTGTTTTCTTGGAGCGTTCAGAAACTGAAGGGTTGTCTAATTGTCGCTTGCTCTTTGAAGGATCCGTTCCATTGAAATCCATATCGGAAAAATCATCCTTTTTTCCGATTTGGTCATCAATGGAAACAAAGGCAAGTGGGGATTCAAAACTATTCAGCAACACACCAAACTTGGCTTCAAGAGCTTCATCTACCTGAGCTGTGTTATGCCCCAAAAGACTGTTTTTTCCATCACTAGTATGTTCACCACATATGACGCACAATTCTTTATAGTATGGTGCATGTTTGGTCATGTATTGCCCTGCAGTGGCATTAACCTGCGTATGTGAGTAAGCTAATCATTTCATAACATGAACACATAAAAGAAACAAGAAATATAACGAAAAAATTGAGGCAGGAGAATGTTCAATTGGATCTAAATCAGTTAAAAAAGTTTCTTCAAAAGAAAAGTTTTTTTACTGTACAATTATATACTTAACTGATAAATAATGGCCATCCAACGTGGGATACTTATATACACCCTCTTCAGCCCAATAGACAACCAATGTAGGATACATATCAGTTAAAAAGGGAAGCAGGGAGTAAATCCACATTTTTTCATAATAATAAGGCAACGAGAGCCAAATATTTATAAAACATTAAAGCTTGTGAAACTCATTTAGAAAAAACAGAATGAAAAAGGTCAGTACAAAGAGAATGGAAAACATACCTTGATATATTCTTGCCAGACCTGTTCATCAGCTGTGACCATTTTGCATACATCATCCCATACGAAGCCATCCAATTTAAGAAGATCATTTATAACACTATACTGTTTCCTCATAGATTTAAACCTGTTTTTCAAGATATCAAATTCATAGTGGAACCCAAACTTGGAATTAAAAGAAGAAACCATCTCCACCCATGCTTCTCTTCTGAAAATACCACCAACCTGATTCCCTTTCTTCACCTGATCTAACATGAGATGAATGAAGTAGAAATCCATCTGTGGCTGCCAACACGTCCTTGTACGATTGGTAGCTAAAGTAGATGATGATGTGCTGTCATCAACCGGTATTTCTATTTTGACATCAGAGAGTCCACAATCCTCTATGAGGGCAATTTCATGAGGAGTTTCATAGGTTGAAATCATTGACTCTTCTTCTTTTGCCAGACCCAACTTCATATCCTCGGAGTTTTCACCTTCGGGCAAGCTACCAGAGTCAGATTGTGTTTCTTTGTTGTTTTTAGAGAACTCATTATCACAAGCAACAAATCCTTTCTTTTCAAAACTCGTGTGCTTATATATCTCACAGAGATCGTGAAAATATGGGATGGTTTTTATTCTGTAAGGTCGTGACTTTGGATGAACCTGCAAAAGTACCCTGTGCTGCATCAATATTGAATGACAGATAGAGGGATAGAGGGATGAATTCCAATTTAATAAAGTGTGCATATTTTTGGGATAACCCAAAAAGGAAAATGTACAAAATGGGACGGAGGGAGTATATTATTTTGTGTGTAAAATGATATATAGTAAATGATCATATTTTCAAATTCAACCATCTTTGAAAAACATTAAGGGTATAGATTAAGCACTCCAAAATCTCCCCTTCAAAACATTTCAAAACCCTTCATCCAAACTGACCTTTAGCGCTTAAATACCTCACCTTTATGTGTTCATCCCAGACTTTACTGTCAGCAGTCACCATTCCCAGGGTATCGTTCCATATAAACCCATCCTGGCCAAGAAGATGCAGTACATCTCTGTAAAGAGTTCTAAGCGTCTTGTGCCTATTCTTCAGGATATCCATGTCGTACTGAAACTTGAACTTATCATTGAACAAAGAAGTCATTTGATTCCAGGCATACTTGCTAAACGTATGATCATAAACGTCGCTCCACTTTCCAATTTTTTCCAACATTAGGTCAATGAAGTATCTATCCATCTCCAGAGTCCAGACTGTTCTCATCCTTTCACTTTCACCACGAGTTCGATTCCCCATTCCAAAATCAATCCGTTCGTTTTTCACATGCGCATAAATCTCGGAGTTATAACAATTGTTCAATTGGGGAATCAAATCGCTATATGGTTTTGCGTCATCTAACAAGAGAAAGGGAGGATTTACTGGAGGTGCAGATACAGTCACATTAAAGGGACGTAAGTCTCACCTGAAAATAGAATAAGAAGACGAACCTGTTTGCTTAATGGGTTGTGGAGCGGGTCGGAGGATGATCCATCTATCGGGTGTGGATTCTTCAGACAAGAAGATACGGGTTTCAGGGATAACGTGGTCGATGATATCTACACCCCGGAATCTCTAGCGGTACCTACTCCAAAGTCCAAATCTGCCGGTGTTCGAGCATAGCTTTTTTAATCAGGACTTAGCATATCCGCGTTTAACGGAAAAATAGTACTCCGTATCAAACCGAAATAAATCGATCAGCAACAGAATCATATTCGAAATAAGTCCTATTAAATGGAACCCAACTGAAAAGTGATAAAAATAGAATAGAACCGAATTGAACTAAATAAATTCAATAAAATTTCCATACTTCATATTCTCTCCGTTCTCTAATAAATGAGAGTATAGCTTTTGGCACAAGATTTAAGAAGGAATTAATAGGGGTAGGATTAGGGATGGAGTCGGGTCCGGATCCGGGTCGGGCCTAGGCCCGGGCGGGCCGACGTTTCAAGAATAGTGGACCCGGGACCGGTCCGGGTAGCCACCGGCTCCGGTCCCGCACAGTAGCGGGCCGGGCCGGTCCACGGGCCGGGTGGCCTGACCCGAGTCCAACCATAGGTAGGATAAAAGGTGTAGTGGGTTGTGTGTAAAGGTAAAAGTAGGAAAGAGAATGAAAAAGTAGGAAAGGGAATGAGGGTAAATGAGTATATTTATTGAAAAAACTTACCAAAAGTGAAAAGAGATACAAGTAATAGAGAACATCCCAAAATGGAAAGAGGGCCAAGTATTAGAGAACGGAGAGAGTATGTTATTAAAAAAAATCAAACTGATCCAAATAGAACTAAATCAAACCAAAAAACAGTACTCCCTCCGTCCCATAATTTACTTCCAACTTTTCCTTTTCGTGTGTCCCAAAAAGAACTTCCTTTTCCCTTTTTGGCAAAAAATTTGTGGTTCACAGCAATTCTGACACATTCTTACACATTTCTCTCTTCTCTGCACAACGCTCCACCACACAATTTCTACTTTCTTAATCCGTGTGCCATTTGTACTATGAAAGTAATACTCCATTTGTATTGATCATAATTTATGTTCAATTTTTATAAATTTTAGTAACTTTTATAACATTTTATAAATAAATTTTATTAAATAACATTCTTGAACTAATGTCCTCAAGTAAACATACTTCACTGTTTTAACATTAAAAAATACATTTCCTCTACTCAAATGTTTTCCTTCAAAATTTTCAGCTTTTTTCCTTGGGATGGGTATTTTGAATGTCAATATGTTTTTTATTTATACGGGAAAATAAAATTAGAGAAAACGACTTCCTTTTCTGTTCTCTCCAACGAACATGATTTCATTTTACTTGAAAGTGAAGCTTTGTATAATTGTATTCGTGTTCAAGAATATAATTATAACAGTGATTTCGAAAATAAAACTGAATACAAAATAAATGATAAATATACTTGGTTATTAAATTGGAGATAATTTCCAACTCTATGTCTCTAAGTACTTTCAACTGTTGGAAGTTCTCACCTGACAATTATATTTTCATGTGTCACACTGGATTATTGGAAGGGGAGTAAAGAAAGGCAAATAATTTTTTATTACAACAACATTGAGATACCTCAAATTGCTCTAATAACAATTTCAGCATACCTTCGGAGTTCCAACAAATTTCGGCATATTTTTTTTATTACAACAAAACTTAGCCATTTCATGCTACAAAAAAGGTATAATTGTCCAAGTATCTAACAGATGAAAAAACTCCTTTCAGCTAACCATCTTTTTTGCCAAAATGACTTCTTACAACACACTAAACCAAGTACAGACTGTTCAAAAAAATCATCATGATCATCATGTTTCTTCCTGTGCTCAAGTTGGCAATTCTATCAATGTACAGACACTGCCTTCCAGTGACACAATACAACAACATAGTCCAGAGATCATGTGGATTATACAGGATAACACCTTATATACCTTTGTAACTCAGCAGTGAACGATCACACAACCAAAAGAACACATGAAACTCTCTCTCACCCATAGAACTTGCCCACCTCTGCAAGTTTAAAGCAGGTGAAGCTTTGAAGTTTCAACCACCCAGCTGAAGTCTTTATGAGTTTTTTTCTTCTTTTTGACCAAGTTATTGGGAAGGAGTTCTTTGGAAATGAGTTCTTTTTTTGTGGGGGAGGGGGGTAACTGAATCAGGAAACAGAGCCCATATTTTGGCACTTGAACATCAACCATAAGGAACAAAATTTGTTGGCAAACATTCATGCCACTTCATCTCCCTAGAGAATGATGAGAGAGAAAAAAATGGTGATCGGGGAGAAAAACCTTTAAATCCCGAAGCCAACTGTCTGCAGCCAGCAAGAGAGAGTTTTCTTGTTCAGATTCATGGGTCCCGCATGGACTCACAAGTGAGCCCTTCAGTTTGTATGAAGCAAGGCCAAAGACTGGTAATGAAATCATTGCCTTAGCGCGAATCATACCATTTAAACTCTTAGCATTTGCACCATGAAAGCGTGGCTGGGCTGTACCTGAATAGGATGACAGAAAGATTAGAAAAAGAAAGACCTACTTAAGGTCTTTTTGGAACTTTGGAAACTAACAGAAAAAGAAAATAGACTGGAAATTTGTAAATATAGAAAAGACAGGTTCAAGATCAACAAATTTATTTTTTAGATTTCTTCAAACTCATTTTATAAATGTTCTTCTTTTATATAAAGACTAAGTAATCTAAATAAGTAAATATACACACACACACATATATATACATATATATTCTAAATAAGTAAACTAGTAAACGTATATAAAAATGCATATAATCTAAATCCTATGACATTTTCCTTCTGCATTTCTGTTGGGAAAGCCAAACAGAATAATGTTATTTCCTTCAGCATTTTTTACTATTCTCTAACATTTTTCCATGACCAACACATACCCTTGGAAAAAAGTTCAAAGGCACAATGAAGGAGATAAGGAGGGAGGTACCTCTGCATTGTGTGGATAATGGATGAAATGTTAAAAAAGATGCATCCAGATCCCGCAATGTGTGGCCTATGGGTATTCTATATATTGGGTACCTGCAACCAATTTCATAGTAAGTTCAATCTTCTAATATCCAAAAAAACTCTCAAATTTGTTACTTCCTTTTGCATGAAGTATAACATACCAAGCAACAGATATCCAACTTGAGGGCATCAAATCACAGCTCTTGCACTTCTTCAACTCTGGATATTGAGATGCTAGGTCCATTATCTGTCAGGTGAAGGAAATTCAAAACCTTCCGAGATGCAGAAGTGGAAACTTTATACATCTTCTAAAACTTTTAACTGATTACTCTTTTACCTTGTCAGTCAATGGCCTGCGATTATATGGCTGTTCTTGCTCCAAATATTCAAACAAGAGAACTCCGGAAGGTTTTCTAATTTCAGATTCATCAGCATTCAAGCTCGTTACAGATAGGTCTCTCTTTGAGATCCTGTTAAGTTGTTGGGAATTTGCATGTAATTGGTTGTGCTGGTTCCATTTTGCATCATCATAACTAGATTTTTTTAGTGACTCAACATTACTCTCTTCACCAGATATCCTGGTTCAAATGAATGGCAACGTAAAACAAAGTTCATAGCGTATTAACGTACTTTCAACCACATGCTATGTTAGAAATTCAAGCATCCACAGTCTAACTATCTCTTTTCCATGGCTAGTACACTTGTAATGTTTATACTTTATAGGCCTTTCACCACATACCCAAAAAATACTTGCACAAAAATAATCATGAGAAACTGTAACTAAATTTAAAATTCAAGCACAAAGTATTAGCTTTAAGTATAAAAATAGATATTATTATGGTTGGGCTAGTTATTAAGAACTAAAAATTTAAATTTAAACATAATAAACTATAAATACGTATAAAGATATAAATTAGTAAATAAATATATACACACAAACACATGTGTACATGCATAAATAAATCAATTAGTATGTATATAAATATATACTATGTACACTAGATGTAGCAGGCCGGGCTTATTGGCCCGAACGGGCCTACACCCTAACCCAAGCCCGCCCATATGTCATTTCGGCCTGAGCCCGGCCTGAGCCCGGCCTGGGCCGGTGGGTAAATATATATGACCAAGCCCGCCCATTTGTGCGGGCAGGTCTATTTCAGAACTATGATGCTCTGCTCCAAGTCTACAAATTTACAAGTATTACACTCAACTTATGCTCTTATATGTTTACAATGTGGGGAAGCAGAACTCAGTTGTAACTTGGTTGTTATTGATTATTTATATCTGACCATATATAGACAAGTAAATAAGTTGTGGCGTAAGTCATTGAACGAATTTTGAATGGAGTGATTCGGGGTTATAACTACAAATCTTGAACTAAATGGTTTGGTAAAAAAGACCAGTTTGAGAACTACCGTCTTTTAATAACCTTCTGTTGGGCCGGTTATTAGTATGCTGTGTAATAATAACCGTCTATGTATGCTATCTATCTTTAGAACAGTATGCTGTGTAATAAAAAGAACAGTATGCTGTGTAATAATAATTGTCTATGTGCAGTAATAACTACATAGATCTGTCTACAATAATAAACTTCCGTTGTGCGGTAAAAAGACCAATTTGAGAACTACAGTCTTTTAAGTGTGTGTGTGTGTGAAATAAAAAGAAAAAAGACCATGGTTTCAGTGGTGAACGTCATAAAAACATGTGGTGGTTTGAAGAGTCTTCGCCACAAAAATGCTTCCTGGTGACCAGTATACATGTGGTGGTGCCATACCTACGTCATTTCCATCACCACACCATATTTCTGGAGCAGATTTTAACATGTTCATTAAACTATTGTTGGGCTTTGGTCCTGATTACTAATTAACCGATCAGCTTGCCCATAATATATAGAAAACCGTCATAACTAAATGGAGACACGCTAACGTAGAATTGAAGCAAGAGAAGCCGCAACTTATGTCTATGTCAGGGAAAGCTGCACGCAGCTGAGGGAAACTACACTTCAGCTAAAGGAGTGTGATATTTGATGGTGATTAAATTATATTCATCAAACAAAAACAAAAAGCCATGTTCCGGAAGAGTTGGAACTTTTTTTGGACATTTGGTTATTTGGTTATTTTGACAACTACTACTACAACAACAACAAACAAAGACCCTGTTTGTTTTTTGGCGGATTCAGAGCAAACCGCTGCAAAATGCAGCGTTTTCATTTGTAAAAAAACAGCAGATTGATGTCAATCCACTATTCACCAAACGCATTCAAAATCCAAGGGATAATATAAAATAAAGATAAGATATACATAAAAATGATGCGGTAAAAAAGGATAAAAAAAGAATACAAAGACGGAGTATAAATTAAGTTATTTTGACAACTACTTTAAACTTAAGTATTTTGACTTGACATGTTTCGGTTAGAATTTGGTTATTCAACTCTTTTGCTCAACTTTTGTGGCTGAATTATAGATTTATATTGACTATAATTCATATTTCAGAAGTAATTTTTGTGTCATGCAGCAGCGCCATAAATGCGCTATTGCTATAGAAAATGCCTTGGGGGCATGGCAACTAAGAAAGGCATGATATAATGAGACACGTGCACGAAAATATTTCTATAATTAAGATGGACAAATAATCATGATTCATGACCATTTAAAAGCCATAATTAGCATTAGCTGAAGGGTGATAATTACAAGTGACACAATAATCAAAAAGGACAAAAAATGCCAAAAATAAAGATCCATAAACAAAGAGACAACTAAGAAATGTACTCACCATATTAGCTGAATACCTAAAATTCAGAAGAAATAAGCCAATAATTATATATGCTCACCTAGGCCGAGACGATGACTTCAATGGGTCTATGTACAGCTGTATGCCAGACAAGAATGGAACATAATACTGAATAATGCGGTCCTTCTCATTCAGCAACAGGGGCACGCCAACTCCATACACACTCCACTCTCTCAAAGACTCCCAGAGATCCTCAAGGTAAAAGAATGAATTCGCCTGGGCTTCAAGAGTTTTGTTTCCTCTTACCATTGCCTGATCACTCGAGAAATGACTTCATATAAAAAACCAAGTTGGCAGAAAATACTACTGACATCAGTATAAGAACTCATTCTGTTAATAATTTCCAACTCATACCAAGTAGAAGCATTTGCAAACTAATACGGAGTATAGAAATAAGAAAATCAAAGAGCACTTGGTGGTAATAGTTAAGCATAGAGAACTGTCTGAAAAGTAAAATAAAGCAGCAGTCACTTTTCTTGCATTGAATAAAGAGCAATTCAAGTCAGTAATAAAAGCTGCAGGAATTAGCACGAATTGAACATATTAGTTGGAATGACTGAGATCTCAGGATTAATACCTCAGATACTTGCTGAGCTTGCACGAAGGGAGTAACCGATTCCATCAAACGATCCAAGTTGGTGATGTTCTTCGGCGGCGCCGGAGAAGACGAACGGACAGGTGACGGTTTGGAGAATGCTGTGATCGAATCGTCTGATTCAGTCCGGTCCCCCGGCTCAGAAGTTGCGGTCTCCCCATTCGCTCCATTCTGCTGCTGCCTCTGCACCTGAAGCCGCGGCTGCGGCTGCGGCTGTAACACCGTCTGCTGACGCAGCCGTCGCACCGCCGGCGGGTTGTAGAATCGGTCTGCTCCGTGATTGCGCGTCACAGCGAAGCCACTGGAATAAGACATTTTTACACGTAGAGGTGCTCGCGAGTGCGCAGGCAGAAAACAGAGCTCAGTAAGTTGAACTTGATAGATCAGCGAAATGTAGTTGAAAGCAGAGACGGAGAATCAAGATTAGGGTTTTGGAGGTCTCTGATAGTCCAGTCCTTGGAGGATGGAGGTTTGTCTGAAATAAACTTCCTTCTTTTGTGTTTATGGCAGCTACTATGATGATAAACAAAACGTGAAAATTACAGAGCAGCCCAGCGGGGTAGGAGAAAAGGCAGGAGAAGAAAAAGGGAATATGCTTTTTCCCTACATTCATGTGCTCATAAAATGTTCAACTTTGGTACGCCGCGTTGCACCGAAATTCTGCTTGTGCCCTTCAATTTGTGGACAATCCCCCCCCCCCCCCCCCCCCCCCCCAAACAACATCTTGGGCTGAATAGTTTGGATCTATAAGAAACTATAATGGGCTGAATAGTTTGGATCTATAACTAACTATAATGGGCTGAATGTGTTTTGACTCGCTTATGGGAAAGTATAAATTACCCATTTGGACCACTTTTACCCAATGTTCTAAAAGGTCTTAAGCGCTAGTCGGGCGTCAGCTCAGCGCCTAGGCGGGGATTAGTCGGAACATAGAAATTGCATTTTTATCTATATTTTTGCATAAATATGATAAGTAATATTGTATTCTTGTGTGAATAAAATACATATATACACATACATTAACAAACATGAATGATAGAATTATTACATTTAATCATACGTAGTATAGGATAACTAAACATTTAACTTCATTATGTTATAAATATAAATAATAATAAAATTTAGGCATATGTACAAACAATTTAGTCTTTATCTTATTTTACAACTTCATTTCTTTATATATGTGGCTACAGTTAAAGTACTTATATCGCTTAGAAAATTAAAATTGAAAAGTAAAGTAATATTCGACGAATCTAAATGGCCTAGGCGGCCGATTAGGTGCTCTGGGCGGGCAACAAGGTACCATAGTCGACCGGCTAATTCATTTAGACGGCAAACAAATTAGTCGGAACACCTAGATGAAAATCGAGGGGCTCAACCACCGCCTATCGCGTAGACGGAGACTAGTCGGACGACTAAAACGACCTCTTACATATGTTATTTCATTTATGACGTGATACAATTTTTCTTTCATTGCCTAACTTTTCCCTTTTCACTTTAACTCTCTTTATTTCAAAAAGGCTAAAGGGTCAAATAAGTCCTTGTACCCTTTCGGATTGCTCAATTTGCCCCCTCAATCCAAAAAAGTTCCAATTGGCACCCTGAACTCGATAAAAATATTCAAATTTCACTTTTTGAAGGTTTCAATCCGGTCACCGCCACGTCACCCCGGTAGGGTGCCAACTGTGCATGTGACGTGGCAACTTAGGGGGTCAAATAAGCCCTTGAACCCGATCGAATCATTCAATTTACCCCCTCAACCCTAAAAAATGTCAACGAAAATTAAGGGTCGAGGGGGTAAATTGAACATTTCAGTCGGGTTCAGGGGCTTATTTTACCCTCTAAGTTGGCACCCTACCGGGTGATATGGTGGTGACCTGCTTGTGACCTGCAAAAAGTAAAATTTGAATCTTTTAATGAATTTCGGAGTGTCAATTGGAGTTTTTTTGAATTCAGGAGCAAATTGAACAATCTGGGAAAGGTCCACATTTTTTGACCCCCTATTTGACCCCCGGAAAGGTAAACACCGGCTCTCGAAAATAATAATTCAACTCCGATAGAGCGTGCGAAACCACCGGCTCCCGTTTATATTTCATCCCCGTTTCTGTCGTCTCTCTGAGAATTATCGCTGCATAAGCTAGCTTCTTCCAGATTGCCGACCGTCTCTCGGAGAATCATTGCCGCCTTCTTCCAGATTGGAAATGGTATAGAAACGTCGTATTCATTCTGAACTGAAACCCTCTTCTTATTTGATGTAATATCTTCTCTACAACACTAAGTGGCCATCGTAATTGGTTTTTTCCTCAACAAAGTTGGTTCAATTCAGTTAATGTTCTTATTTGAACTTTTTAATGTTCAACACTAAGAAGCTTTTTCATTACATATCATCTACGATTCTAGGAACAATCGGTTCATTTCATCTCAAATTGGGTCATCCCGCTTGCGACAATTGTGTGATATTTTTGTATTTTCGGAGAATAAGAGTTTCAACTACATTAGTGAGAAGAGAATTCAATGAAATATTTTCTTTAAATGTACATTCACTAAGGAAATATGGCTGAAGGTAGTTGAGACTTAAAAAGCATATTTATACCATGCTCATGAATTCAGTCAAAATGTGCCTTAAACAATACAAAGGTGTAAGAATAATGAGCAAGACTGTTCGGGTATCTCTTTCCTTCGCTATTTACACAGTTTGGAAGCCTAGGAATGAGGCTATTTGTGCTCATAAGGTGATTAGTGTTGATAATGAGTTTTTGCATAAACTCTTGGTGTACACGATGTTATTTAGCCTGTCTCCTACCAATTTTATTGATTTTTATAATGGTTTTCTTGATTATTTTCTTGGTTATCTAGTGCTGCCTTGAGAGTTTTGCATGTATATACTCATATACAAGTTGTTGAGAAGTGATTTGCCTTGTACTTTGGGGAGTAGTTGTGGAGTAAATGATGCCTGCTATTGTTGCTCAACCATTCTTGATGTACACACCCTTGTACACACCTTATACACACCATGTTTGTGAAGCTTTTTTTTGTCTGTGAATCCGGTTCACAGACAATATTTTGTTTGTGCAAAACATTGTCTGTGAATCAATGTTCACGGACAAAAAAAAAAGCTTTCACAGACATAGGTGTGTACAAAAGTGTGTATAAGAGTGTGTACAAATATCATTTTTGATCGTTGCTTTAGGCAGACACTGGCATCTCAGATTATGCGGATTGAATGTATGGTGCTGCTGTTTTTTCTATGAGTAGACTTTGCCGATCAGATTGTTGATTGCATGTTCCTTGCTACTATTTGTTCCTTTGGGTAGGCTATGCTTTGGAGTTTGGGCAAATGGTTTGAGGCTGTTTTATTTGTTTTTAGTGATTTTTTATTTATTCATTTGAGGCTATTTTTATTGTTGTTTAGGCTGATTTATTTGTAGTTAGTGTGGTTGCTACTACATGAAGACTTGTTATGCTCTTGCTTAAGTGGAGAGTATGCCCTTTTGTGATATTTTAAATTACAATTTTAGCAGTTAATTTAGATTTCCCGTTCATAAAAGAACACGCTATGGAAATCAACATCATGAAATGTGAACATGAATAAACAATAAAAAACAGAATATTAAAAGTTGTCTGAAACAAAAAGCAACACTAAGAAACACCAGTGCCTATATGGTACATCCGGGTGTACCATATAGGCACATCCGGGTGTACGTTACGTACACCCGGCCCAACTGAGGAAGACAGCCCAATAATTGATACAGTCCAAAAAAATATCGGTGGCATTTTTGTAATTTAAGCGAAAAATCACGGCTTCTGCTAAATGAGCAATAGTGTGCTTTTAGTGAGCATCTAACGTATTTTATTGAGTATTAGGAGGCTAACAATGACTATCACGATCTGTACTTCATATCTTCTAATTCTTCTTCTTTTTCTTTATTTTTTCTTTTATAAAAACTTATTAAATTATATCTATAATCCACTCCTATTAATATCAATATGCGAGTCTAATGTAATATGATACTTTTGAAATATGCATACATAACTTACAAAGTGCACATTGATATGAAAAGTGTAAGGTTTGTTAGTTGAACATCACGACATTTTAATTGAGCATCAAACCTCTACTATGGAGATGAAAATCAAAATTTCTGGTGAATGAGCACTAATAAACTTTTAATGAGCATCAGAACTATTATGTTGAGTATTATGAGTCTAATATTCAGAATCATGATCTCTCCTTCATAACTTTTAATTCACTTTCTTTTTGCTCTTTTTTCTTATATAAAAACTTATTAAATTATACTTATAATTAACTCCTATGAATTTCAAGACGTGAATCTAATGTAAAATAGTACTCCCTCCGTTCCTAAATAAACTTCCAACTTTCCTTTTTCGTTCGTTCCAATTAAAACTTCCACTTTCCCTTTTTAGTAAAGAATTTGTGGTTCACAACATTTCTTACACATTTCTCTCTCCTCTGCACAACTCTCCACCACACAATACCCACTATCTTAAACTTTGTGCCAAACCTATTTGGAAGTTTTAATAGGAACGGAGGTAGTACTTAAAAAATGCATTGATATGACATTTAGAAAATGAGAATAAGATTAGTACCACATGAGCATACATAACATACAAAATGTTCACTGATATGAAAATCGTAAGGTTTGTTAGTTTGATATAATGACATTTTCATTGAGCATCAAACCTCCTCTATTGAGATGAAAATCACAATTTCTGTTAAATGAGCATTAATGAACTTTTAATGTGCATCAGACCTATTATGAGTATTAAAACACTTCCAATGAGCATCGGATTTATTCGGTTGAGTACTAGGAACCTAACAATGTGAATCTAATGTCATATGCAACTTTTAAAATTTGCATGAATATGACATTTAAAAAATGAGCATAATATGAGTACAAATTGAACAAACGTAACTTACAAAATGAGTATTGATATGAAAATCATAAGTTTTTTAGTTGAAGTTCGAGACATTTTTATTGAGCATCAAACATTTTCTATTGAGTATTGAAAACATCCAATTGAGTATCATGGTTTGTGCTCCATTACAATTTTTCCATTGACACATTAAAGCCAACATTACATGGCTAAATGGTTAAAATGAATTAATGAAATAATAAATGGTTAAAAATAAATGAAACAAAATTACAATTTGGTAAAGTAAAATAGAAAAAGAACAACAAGAATAAAAGGAAATACAACAGCAGCGAAGAAACAAAAGATGGAAGAAAAAACAGAGCATTTACATATGAGAAGAAGAAGCAAGAGAAAAACTCCACAATTTACACTTTTTTGAGAGCCATGGAACATCAATCTATCTTTAGCGCACCTTGGATATTGAATCCGGCTACCTTCAGGAGAAGATTACCGAATGAGTTTTGTCCTCTGCGCTTCCCAAGATGGGGAGAAGAGTGGAAGGAAGCGGTCAGGAGAAAAGAAGAAGACGACAACGTGCATGAAGAACAGAGCATCGGCGGAGCATTGGTCTATTAATTACCCTCAAACTTGCTACTAATTGCAAAAAAAATGGGATGTACATGGGGTGGGGTGTACGATATAAATTGCGAAGAAACAACACGTCAAAACTCAAAAGGTCATGTTTTGTACGGAGTATATTTTGATACTTTCT